CACTGATATAGAATAATTACTAAAAATTATTCGATTAAAAAGAAAGCACGTAGGCACGGTGGGGCACTACTTGAGAGGCTGCAGTAGGAAGATCACAAGTTTAAGGTCAGTCTGGGCAACATAGCAAGACCCCATCTCAAAAACAAAATAAAAACGCCGCCAAACCAAAAGGCACCCAGTATTCGTTCCTCTCTAGAATTGCCTCTTTCACCAGTTCTGTATTTTCCTCAGCACCTATTCTCAAATTGCATCCATTTTCTCAAAACACATCATTTCCCTTCATCAGTTTCCTCTGGCCACAAGTACCACTTCTTTGTCCCCACCTTCTTTTCTGGGGATACCTGGCTCCCTTCAAATTCAGCACGATGTCACTGCCCCCAGGAAGCCTCCCTGTCCCGCAAGCTGTCTGCTGCCACTTGCTTATCACACTCTCCGTGCACCCACCCCACAGGGTACCTGGCTGCCTCCCCGTTGGACTGTGAGTTCCTGGGAAGAGGAATCTCCCCAGCTCGGTCCGTCTGCTCCTGCTCGGGGCAAGGGGCAGGTGCTCTGGGAGGGGAGAGATGGGCGTGGCGGGAGGCCGAATCCACCCCCAACAATTGCCTGAAGGATCTTTTAAAAATGAAAATTGGATCGTGTCATTCCCTTACATAAAAACTTCAAATGTACCTAAATAAAACCAAAACTGAAAAAAGAAAGAAGCAAGCAAGGGGCAGAATTGATAGGACGCCATCATTTTTGAGCTTAGAAGAGAAAGAAGGAAGATGAAAGGTGGGAGGGAAACTACTGCCCTCTGTACCTCCTGGTTGCTGAAATATACGCATATCCGTACAATAAAATACTTTATTTTTGTCTGAATTTCCAAAGTGAAGATCTGCTTGTTTTTGTAAATATTGCTTGTAAGGAAATTTCCAGAAATAAAGTACCTTTAATTATAGAATTGGAGTTACAATAGTTCCTTGTTTTAAAGCTCTTCCTTCTTCTCTCCATTTGGTGTTCCAAATGAACAGTTTGAAAAATGGCAAGCTTGTTGCCCCCTTTTAAAACACACACCCATTTTCCTCTGCTTGGATCTAAGAGTCCCTAGTCGGGTTCCCTCTGTAACGGTGATGATTTATGTCAGGGCTGAGGTCTGGCGTGTGCTGTCATCACCAGGGCCCTAGGAGCGTGGAGCAAGGCTTTCAGGGCTCGTGTGGCCCAGAACCTGCACAGTCCTCCTTAGGTGCGTGGCCCCTAAAACACTTTCCAAAGCACCCACCCGGGACCTGCTCTGGGAACAGCCTTTTTATAGTGAGGATCCTATGTGGTACGGTGGTCCTCAATTGTTTCTCTTGCTGGGTTTCAGGACTGAAAATTTTAAATGGAAAATTTCAATAATAAACAATTCGTATATTTTAAATAACTGTTTGTTTTTGTTCTTCCTGTGCCTAATTGATAAATTTAAACTTTATCATGGATATGTATGTACAGGATTTAGATTATCTATGGTTTCAGGAATGTGGGTTGGGGGAGCCAATGCACAGAATTCAGAGTTGAACGCGGTTTCTTCTTCCAATGACTCCTCCCTCAGTACACACACACACACACACCCTCATGCCTTTATAAACATCCAGATTATGTTCCACACCTTATAATGTGGTTCTTTATGTGCTCACCTCATCTTCTCACTCAGCTTTTTGAGAATGAGATCTCTCTCCTCGGAGCCCAATACTCCAATATGAAATAGAAGTACGCATCATGGAATCCAAAGCACTTAGCCTGAATTTTACTTTCTTTGGTTTAGAAACCAATTTTTCCCTGCCAGCCATGGCAGATCCTGGTCATCCCCATCCCCAACCCTCTCAAAGCTCAGATGTGGACAGCCAACCGCAACGCTGCCTGTGAGGTCTAGGGAGAGGCTAGTGTTTTATTTTAAAATGTTTACGATAAACCCCTTTTGGTAGCTCTCTATGGCTTTCCCAGGACCTCTGATGAGCCCTTGCCTCTGTGACTGGCCCAGGGAAAAGAATGTCTGAAAAAGCAGCACAAATGCTTCCCGTAAACACACCAGTGGTTTCTCCACATGACATAAACTACCAAGTGAGAGAGGTGAGGGGACCCAGGCCGTGTAGCAGCCGCTCTAAGCTGCCCCTTGGTGGCAGGACGCTGTGACAGGGCAACCCAACCGCTGCCCAGCTGGCTCTGTTGCTCAGCCTGCGAGGGGCGTTTGTGCACCCCCAGGTGCATCCAACCCACAGGGCCTACCAATATTTGCTGTCGGCAGCAGTGGGAACCCAAAATGCATGACTCAAATTTTACTTTCTTCTGTCCAACTGAGGATCACTGGTTCTTCCAATCGTGTAACTTTCTAACCTTTGGTTTGTATCACAGAGTTTTTGAGCCAAATCTTACTGCACAGATGGATCAAACTGCAAATATGGAAGACTTCCTATGCTCAAAGTATAAGTCTGAGAGGATAAAATACATATGCCTAAATCATCACTGGTAAAACTCCAAAGCTTTTTAAATAAAGGTTATTTGCCTCTGGCCAGCCTGGAACCTCAGAATGGATCAGAGCTGGCTTGAAGGTGATTGTACGGCAGAGGTACAGTTTGTTTGTTTGTTTTTTGGTACCAGGGATCGAACTTGGGTCCTTGCGCTTGCGAGGCAGGCGGCAGAACCACTGAGCTAAATCCCCGGCCCATGAGGTACAGTTTGGATGACATAGCCAGAAGGAGAACTGAGGAATGGGCTCCCAGTCTGCAGAGTGGCCACACAGCACTTCAGGGTTCCCAGCTCACTGAGACTGGGGTAAGAAGCAATGACCCAGTAAGGCAGGGTCAAAAGTTCCTTCAGAAAATGAAGAATTTCTTGAGAAGTATATGAATTTTGTACCAGCACTCTTTCTCTTTAGCGGTCCTTAAAAACCATCTCTACTCGGGAACAAATGTGGCCCTGCCCAAGATGGGGAGTGGCACGGACACACTTAATGTCATTTTGGGTCCCTTGTACAAGCTTAACAGTCCCCCTGAAGAGACAAGATGAGATACTGGGAGCAAAAGCAAAACCACTTTACTGGTTGGACAGATGGACCTCACTTGTGCCTGCAGCTATCAGAGGGACTACACACCCTTCTTTCCAGGATGGCAGGAGCATCCTGTAGTGCAGGCCTCACTTGAGGCTAATGGTCAGGCCCTGAGTGGAAATTCTGAGCTCATCAGGCCTAAATTTGGGAAATCAAGGTCACACCTAAAGCTTAATGGTCTGCTAAGAACAGCAAATACACACTGTCCTTTCTTCTCCTTCTGCCAGGCATGTAATTGGTTCTCATGCTACTTTTCCTAGAAGGCAATGTCATCATTACACGCACCCTTTGGGAGGAAGGAAACAGAGGTGACAAATCTTTCACCTAGATGGCCCCACCTAATTATAGACAGTCACACCTTCAAAGTGTGCTCCCGAGGTCCTTCATAAGCTGAGTCTCTCCTATGCGCAGGAGAAATCTCTTTCTTACTGTGATCACTACATGATCAAACTTCCCTAATGCAGAATTACAGGCATTTTGTTTCAGAGGAAAGCGTGAAGCACGCATTGTTAAAATATAAATTAATTCTCTCCCACAACAATGCTTATTGACCTGGCCACTGCAGTAAAACTTTGATTACAGAGATTTCTCTCTGTATTAAGCTTTTAAGAAAGAGGTCAGGGGAAAATATCAAGGGAATTAAGAAAGTCTTAGGAAAGTAAATGAGAAAAAATCTCATATTAAATGGAATCAAAACATTCATGTTTCATAGGGATCTATCTGTTACCCACAGTTTACACACCTAGTTGAGACAGAAGTCTCAGGAGAAAAGACTTCGCTGTGAGCTAGGAAGGACCTTCTGCTCACCTTGGTGATCCCAGGGGGACAGCCAGACTCCCAGCTGGCACAGGGCTGGAAGGGGGAGCAACTGCAACCAGAAGAACATTCAGCGAGGCTGAAAGAGCTGTGCGGGTCAGCCTGAACTACAACTCGTCTCTACTCTTGTTGTCACTTGCTTTATTTTGTTCCCCACCCCACTTCCAGATAGACCATAAGCCCAGACAGCTGGCGCTAGGTCTGCTTTTTACCATTATCATGTCCCAAGTGCTTAGTGAGATGTTGGCATTCAAAAAAATAAGAGATACAGTGGTGCCTCAGTTTACAAGCTTAATTCTTTTCATGGTTCTGGTCGCAAACTAAACTGGACGAGAACCAAATCAAATGTCCCCATAAGGTCAACAGGGAACCTAACAACTGAATTTGATCTGGTTCTTGTCCAATTTGGTTTGTGACCAGAATCGTGGAAAGAATTAAGTTTGTGCACCAAGGTACTACTGTACATTTAAGTTTAGCTAAGAATTTGCTTTAATAAGTAAATCTGGCAAAAAGAGCAAAAGAACTAATAGATCTCTATTACTTACTAATGTCTTCTGAATATTAAAATTACTTTCATAGTATAAGAAGAGCTGAACTCTGAAACTGCAAATTTACTGAAGTTTTAATTACGCAGCGATGTCTTTAAAATCTAAAGTTTAGACCTAAGTTTTGTTTAAAACTAGAGTCCTTTTACTCTTCAGTATGATCCATAGAAAAAGTATTTGATGGCTTTGTTGCCTGATTTCAATAAACTCAAACTTGAACTGGAAGAGGAAAGAACGAGAAATCATCCCCGAGTCACTGTAATTCTCACCAGAGCCATAAGGCACTGCTGCCTTTAAAGCCCTTAGAAAATAAGGAATAACCCAAGCAGCCAGCACATCTGAAGTTCTTCTCCAGTGTTCCCCTCTGTTCATCTCCAGGAATTTTTCTAGCTTAATTTATCACAGATTAATAATTAATAACCATTAATATCGCAGCAAATCTCTATTACTGACTTTGTAAAATCCTTCCCCACATGTGTCACTTTGTCTCTTCTTCCTTTACCAAGCAGGGATAGAATAAAAGGAGAATGAAAGATGATGGGTAACGAATGGGGACCTGCGTCCGAAAAAAAAGATCTCTTATGAACATTTTATGGTTCAGTATCATTAATGCCTGAAAAAGCAAGAATTACAACAGGAAGCAAAATGAAACCCCCCAAAACTTGGAACTTAAACTTTTCAGGGAAAAAAATGCTACAAGTATTAAAAGACCTAAAGAGAATAAGTAGATTTAAAATACAGCCCTGAAAAAAATAAAATAATAAAATAAAATAAAATACAGCCCTGATAATGTACCTGATCATTCCTTCCTAGGGCTCCCCACCCAGCGCTTTCCAATGATGAGACAAGGAGGCTTCCCTCCTTTCTTGAGTACATAACGTTTACAAACTGTCAGCCCCACAGTGAGCATCTTTTAGAGAAATTCACCCAAGCCAAAGAGAAGGTCAAAGATAAAACTGCAGCAGTGGGTCTGGGACCGGAGAACTGTGTGGTCGCAGAGTCAATGTGCACAGTCCTAAGTCCCTGCACCCGAAATCACGTCATGCTCCGGGGCCAGGAAGATGAGTCTGGGCTTGGCCCCGAGGCAGCCGAGCTGGGTCTCAGGTCCCCTCTGGGGGTCGGATCTGTAACTCGCGCTCCAGCTGCTCTGCGGTCAGGGTGCCCTGGATGGCCTCGCAGCCCGGGTTGAACACAGAGTAGGCACTCTTCTCTCCCTCCTTCTTCTCCCCAGGGCCTCGTGTCCCTACGTACATCCAGTAGAACAATGACAGGACGAAATAAGCCAGGCCAAATTCCAGTTCCACGAACAGTCCCAGGAGGACCAGCCAGAGGAGAACCTTCAAGAAGGTGATGTTGGTCAGGAAAGATCGGTCTCCATGTGAAGGGAGAGGAGGCGGAGGACTGGTGACATTCCGTGGGGGCTGTGCTGTGCTGCCCCAGGGCTGAGTGGCTACCTAGGATACACAAGCAAGGAAAGTAACAGTGAACGGGTAATGCTGCTGAGGGATCAAAACTAATCTAGAAAGGCAGGTCTTATTGCTCCAGGAAGGCTGCGGCTCATTGATTTCTATTTTCTTGCTCTACTCTAAAACAATCATCACCAGAAAGCTTCTGTGCCTGCTCCAACTGAATCAAAAATGATCAGCACTTAGTGAGATGTGACCCAATAAAAACCTTACAGTGCTCAGATGGGTTCCCATTTGTGGGAGTCGTTTCTTCAGATTAGTCTGCTGCTAACAAAAGCTAATTTGTGCCCCAAACAGAAACTGCCCAGTAATGGAGAGTGCAACAGCCCTGATGTTTGCCTCCCATACAGTTGGAGTCAATGGATGTGTGCTGATTTGATTAGATGAGCTAAAACAGGGTGAGTGACATGATTCTAAAACAGAGACGATGCCCAAAACAGGAAACAAAAATCACTTTCATGTATTAGAAAAATCACTGCGACAGGCACAACCAGGCCCTCTTACCATCCTAGCATCCCAACCAGGTCCTTAGTGCTCACCCCAAAGCCTGGGCAGTGTCTCCTATCTTAGACTCCCCAGCTTCCAACTCTTTCTCCCCAAGCCAGCTGAAGTACAACTACTAAAAGAATTTTCTAAACCACTCACTGACCTCCTGCCCACAAACCTTCAATAAAGACGTTAAAAATCTAAACTCCTAGGGTTGGAAGCCAAGGCAGTCCATTCATTCAATAAACAGAAATGCCACGCCTATGTGCTGGATGCTGATAGGAGACAGGTGTGTGCTATCTTTAGAAAGCTTCACCTCCAGTCCACAATTTTCCAGACTGTCTTGGGCATGATCTACACTAAGAAATACACTTTACATTATGACCTATCATACATGTGTGAAACAGAAACAAAGCTTCATGAGCAGCTCTCTGCTGTTTCCTAAACAATTTTAAAGGAAGACATGATTTTCTACATTGATTTCACCATCCACTAATGGGCCACCACTTGCAGTTTGAAAAACAACAGCCTAAAAAGATGTTCTGAAACACACAATCCATAATCTATTGCTCCATAAATGATCTCTCTACCCCAACCTGCTCGATCTTCCTACCCAGACACTCTGTGGCCTGGAATCGCCTGACTCCTTTCCCCCCGCTAACTCCTTGCCTTCCTCCAGGCTGGTGAGGTTGGTGAACTGGGTCTGCCCTGACCTCCTCGGCCCTTGCAGAGGGGCAGAGGGCACCACCAGACTCTGGCATTGGGCACCACTATTTAGCACTGAAGTGTCCCTCTTTTGATTTAGGTCATACGTGTCCCTGGAGTGCATATACATGGAGGCAAGGACTGTCATGTCTTTTGGTGTCATGGGCCTAAACACAGTGCCGCATTTAGGCTCTCAACACCAGGGAACTTTCAGTTCAGTTTTTCAATGAGCCTCTATTCTTCTTCACAGGAGCATTGAAAGGGGGACCACACATACTGACCTCCAAAAAAAGTATTAGTCATCTGATTTATGGTGCAAGAAATTCTATTTTGTTGGAACTTTCCTTTTTAGCATCAACATTGTAATTACCTTTTTGATTAGACTGGAAAGTCTGAAGAGGCCCTGGACATATCAACAACATCCCTCATGCCATGACATTTATTAAAGAAGAAATGTCCCTTGCAGGCTTGGCCAGTCCTTGATCAGGAGGAGAAACGACCAGGCTGGGCAGGTCTGGCTTGTCTGGGGACAGGACACCTACAGGTGACTGCGACATCCTGGGCAAAGGGCATGAGAGGATGGTGGGGGTGGAAAGCAGCGGCCACACCACATGGGGCCGGGTGGGCCGCAGGAGAGATTCTGGAGATGCGAAACCCATTCACATTTGTGACCACTCTGTCTGCCATGTGGAGAATGCGCTGTAAGAGAAACTGCCAGGTGCTAATGCAAGAGGACCACGAAGAGAGGACCAGACGTCGATCAGGGTGGCAACAGATGTCAAAGAGAAATGATGGGTGGATATTTACGGAATACATTTGGAATGCATGCAAACCAAAATTCCCAAGATGCTGAATTTACTATTCAGGGAGTATGAAAAGAATAATGCTCAAATGCCACCACTGACTGGGTGCTTCCAAAATGCTTGTAATCCTGAAGGCAAACATTATTATTCCCAATGTGCTGTTGTGGAAACCCTGAGAGACTATGCAGTTTCCCACCCCACGCTGACATGCAAGTTCGACGAGAGCAGGATTTTATGTCTTAACTGCACAGTCTCCCAGGATTTAGGATGGAGGCTGAACACTGTGGGCTTGTGACAAGATTTTGTTAAATGAATGAATTACAGTGAGGGAAAGGGAGAAATTAGATGTGTGGCATCTGGCCAGAGGAGGCAGGAGGTTTCTGTAGGATTAGAAAGTTATAAGCATATTTGTCACAATGTGGCAAACAGTCATCACAGAATGAAGCTTTGCATTTTGCTTTTCCTCAAGCAAAATTTGCAGGGAGGAAGAGGAGGAAGAAGAATGTGAATACTTCCTCATCAACAATTACCTCAGAGAAGCAATTATAAACAGATGACTACAAAAATCTCTGACAGACCATAGCATGCCATCAGTTATCAGATTGTAACTTTGAGAGAAACAAAATTTTAATAAGAATTTCTACACCGGAGCACATCCAGGAATGGTTAACAGTCAATGAAAAGGAGCCTAAGGCAAGTCGCTCATGAAGAGCAGGGTAATCAATAAGAACCAGCCTGAGGTTCATCACTTCTTCTCATCCTTCTGCCAGGCCACCATCAGCTTTTGGGTTTTTAACAACGGGAGCTTTGTCTGCGTTCAGTGTCTCTGGGTTCAACTCAATGATCTCTTGGAAATAAGACAGACAAAAGCTCACTGTGTGCCTTAGACATTGTTTTTGTAACTGCAGGGGGGAAAAAAGAGAAGGGGAAATGGAGTCTAAATCTTGAGCTACTGTGCTCAGTGAACTGTACGCAGTAATAGTTACCCAAAGACAACTGAGAAAAACTGCACTAAGGGAAATGGAACGTAGAACCCCGTCGCACCCCTCTTTAATCCTGCAAGTAAAAGTGGTAACCCTGGATACTGTGCAGAACATGGATTCAGAGTATTGTTCAGAACCCTGAGTGGTAAGTTTCTGATTTTTAAAAAATCCTTAAACAGATGTTATGCAATAGGTGAATGTACAGAAAATAATTTTAAGGTGAGCGAGGGATATTGCTCCCATACATTTTGATAGCTAAAAGGAAATTTTGGGCTCTTAGAGCACTAAACTTCTCTAATCCAAGTGATACCCAAGCATATGCCCTACTAGTAGTTACAGCTCCAAACCTTCTGCTGGGTTTGTATTAAAAACCTCATTTCTGGGGCTGGGAATTCAGCTCAGTGGTTTCGCTGCCTGCTGCACAAGCACAAGGACCTGAGTTCAATCCCCGGTACCAAAACCCCCCCCAAAAACCCTCATTTATAAAGCTGTCTGGGACATTGGCCCATGTGTCCCAGGTACCCCTAGCCTAATATCTTAATTACCCCCACTTTGGATCACTATTCAATTGGACCTTTCACCCTCCATTGGCATGGGGCTGTGGCTCAGCTTGGTCCCAGAGGTGTCCCGGAGCCACAGAATATGAAAGAGAAGAGGGAAAACCTAAATAAACCCTTCAGCCTCACTTGCTTTTAGTTGACTTTAAAATGATTAATTTTGGGGCCAGGAATTCAGCTCAGTGGTTTCGCCACCTGCTGCGCAAGCGCAAGGACCAGAATTCAATCCCCGGTACCAAAAAAAAAAAAAAAAGATTAATTTTGGAGGCCACACAGCTGAACAATATATCGGTCTCATGACACCTCTAAATGAAGCCATCTAACGGATTCAAATTGCTACCCTTCTTCCTCTCCGTTCTCCTGAAAGATGCCTTCTGTGTCTTCAGGATTAAGTGCAAAGATAGCTTTCCCGGGAAAAGGTACTAAAACACGGGAGTGACAAGACTTCCCAACCATCAGTTTTTCTCTAATTTTAAAGAGCCCAGGGCATCTGACGTCTTCAGATTAACTTCAAAGTGTGGGCCAAGGATGTGCTAATCTTGCTCTTTAATTAAAAGTAAAATAATAGTCAACTTGCAGGGAAATAATGTGTTTACCTAAAGAACTACAAGGACGGAGCTAGGAGAAGAAAGGCAATTGTTGTCTCAAGGACGGTCTGGCAGAAGAAAAAAAGAAAACCTCAGCCCTGCTGCTCTCCTCCCTCTCTTAAAAGCCCTTTGGTCCCTGGGTTTCCTAAGATCTTTGTTGGCGATAGCCTCCCCCGTTTTCCAGTGTGGCATCTTTCCAAATAAATCTTTTTTTCTTGCCCTGATAACTTGTCCTCCAGTTCGAGAGACGAGTAAAGGATGCCAGGTTCGGTTATAACGGGGGATGACAGCGAGACCTCAATTTCCTATGTACAATTCAAAGGCAGTGGGGTGCATTCTGCCTGGAGTCAGGACTGAGTGGGACTCGAGCGGGAGGGAAAAAACAGAGCCACGTGTCATTGGCAGACACCGGTCTCAGGAAACGCGAGGGCCATGGCCCGCCTCCTGGTCGCGGCGGCCACGCCCACGCGGAGGGCGTGGCCTCCGCGGTGTCCCCGAGGCCTCTCCTCTCACCTGAGCGCGGCTGGGCGGGGCCCGGGCACTCGCGGGCCTCGGTTTCCGTACAAGTATCTGGAGCCTTCTTAGCCAGCCTGAGGCTGCCTCTGGAGCTGTAACTGCTTCTGCCTTCTCTCCCGAGGTTTGTAAGGTCTGGCTAGAAGTGCTGGGTTGGGCCGCCTTCCCGCCCCGTTTGCGGGCCGCCCGGAACTCGGCCAGTCGCTGTTCCATAGCGCGCCCCTAGGGCGCGCGCCCGCCACCGGCCTTCCCCGCTTCCGCGTGCCCGCCACCCGCCTTCCCCGCTTCCGTGCGGCCGGGCGCCGGGCTGTGGTGCGCCTGCGTAGGGCGCTCTGTTGCGCGTGCGCACTAGTGGGGCCGTGCCCGCTTCCGCGCGGCGGTGACCTCCCGGGCAGTCAGTACCCGCAGCCTTCCAAACGCACTTGGACACCGTGGATAAAGCGAGAAGAGGCGAAGTGGGAGGTGTCCACGTTCCTGGCTCTCGCCTCCGGCTCCTCGGAGGGGATCCCTGCCTTGCTCCTTCCCCGTTAGGACTCTGGTCCCAAAGCATCCAGCTTTCTGTAGCGACCAGGGCTCCGCTGGCTCCATCCGTGAGCAGCAGCGTGAGAAGGCGCAGAAGGCCCTTGATCACTGAGCTCTCTGGTGTCAGGCGCTTCCAGCCCTTTTCCTTTTATCAGAGTTCGCTGGTCTCGGTACTTAGAGACTGCTCAGTGCTCACAGAGCAGGCTGTGCAGACCTCTGACACACTGGAAGTTATTTGTTGATGTGACTTGATAGGTCAGAAACTAAAAAAACAAACAAACAAAATCTTTAGAACTAGGAATGTAGCCCCGTGGTAGAATGCTTGCCTAGCGTCCTTGAGTCCAGGAGTTCCAGCCCCCAGCACTGAAAAAAAAGAGAGAAAACCTCAGCCAGGCAAAGCGGCCCATACCTATAATCCTAGCACTCTAGGAGTCTGAGGCAGTAGGATTACAAATTCGAGTCCAACTTGAGCAACTCGAATTTAGCGAGACCCTGTCAAGATAAAAAGGGATGGGAATGTAGGTCAGCGCCGGGGGGGGGGGTATAAAGAAAAAAGGTGCAACTTAAAATACAGAAATCTTAAGTATAGCCTGAGGAACTCTGTTCATGTGTATAACTATCACCCATCTAACAAACATTACGAGGATCCTGGGAGCTCTTTTGCCCTCTCACAGCACCCACCCAAAAAGATACAGTTAAGGTCAGACTGTTTCATAGATTTTTAAAGTTCTAAGCATCTGGCAAAGTAACTCCTGCATAACTGACCTTCAGATATATGTTGGATCTTGCATACTTTGAATCAATAAGCTAGACAAACTGTCTTTCATTTAACAAATGTTTAGAGCTACGTGTTGAGTAGTCTAGGGCCAAAGAGGTTCTGGAGTGAATGAACAAAAACCGTTTTCTGAGAGCTTACATTGCTAAGTGGGGAGACAGAAAAGCAAGCACACAACTCCATATTTAATGTAGGTCAGGTGCTGATTAGTGCTATGAAAAAAAGAAAGGAAAGTAAGGAGCAGGAGTGGTAGAACCAAGAAATACCTTTCTGAGGATTTGCTGAGCAGAGACCTAATTTACATGAGGTATGTAGCTACCAGGATAGAGTATTTCAGGCCATGTGTAGTGGTACACACCTGTAATCCCAGAATTTGGGAGGCTGAAGCGGGAGGATTGCTGGTGAGTTCAGGGCCAGGCTGAACTACATAGTGAGACCCTGTCAAAAAAAAAAAAGGATTTCAGTCAGACGAAACAGCAAGTTCACAAGTCCTGAGACCAGCTGGTATGCTTGATCTGCTCACAGAACATCAAGGAGGGCCAGGGATGTAGCTCAGTGGCACCACACCTGCATCGAAAGCGCAAGGTCCTGAGTGCAATCACCAGTGGTGGTGGTGGTGGGGTAACAGCATCAGGGAGGCCAGTAAGACAAGAACAGAGAGGTGGGTAGAGAATGGCAGAGAATAAAGGACAGGTATCCAGGAGACAGATACGTAAAGCATTACATGCCAAGGTGAAGACTACATTGTATGGTAAGTGTGCTTCAAAGTAATTGGAGGTTTTTGAACAAGAGATGATGTCATCTATGGGTCTCACTGGCTGCTGGAGGTGGTGCCCTGGTAAAGTGCAGGAGTAGAAGGGGAACCAGTTACAAGCAAATGTGGTAAAATAAGGGAGCCTGTAGTAGCTTGGGCTACTGTGGCAGTGATCAAGGTAGTAAGAGTTGGTCACATTTTGAAATCTTGAAGATTTTGCCAGCGTGGTATGTGGATGGCTTGGAGGTAGAGTGTGAGAAACAGAGTAATCAAGGATGAGCGATTTCTTTCCCCATCCCTCAGTCAAAAGATACAATTACAACAAATTTAGTTTTAAGATCTTAACTTTTATTTGCAAGTTGAGAATTAAGCAACAGATCACTTAAGATATGTGTATTTTCAGTTACATCCCAATAAGAATGGATGTTCCAATTAGAAGATGCAGAAACAACTCCAGACACACTCAGCCACCTCATCTTTGACAGAGGAGCCAAACACCTCCACTGGAAGAAAGATAGCCTCTTTAATAAATGGTGCTGGGGAAACTGGTTTTCCACATGCCAAAGATTGAAACTAGACCCATATCTTTCACCATGCACTAAACTAAAATGAAAATGAATCAAAGATTAAATATTAAAACAGAAACACTAAATCTGCTGGAAGACAGAATAGGTCTTGAAGACATTGATGTAGGCAAAGACTTCATGAGCAAAACCCAGACTGCATGGGAAATATTACAAAGAATCAACAACTAGGACCTCATCTTATTTGAAAGCTTTTACACAGCAAGAGAAACCACCAACAGAGTGAAGAGACAACCCACAGAGTGTGGAAAATTTCTACCAGCTGTTCATCAGATAAAGGACTATTATCTAGAATATATAAATAACTCAAAAGAATCAGACCTCCCCCAGATTTAAAGACCCAATCCAAAAGTGAGCATCTGAAATGAAAAGATACTTCTTAGATGAAGAAGTAGAAACAGGGCCGGGGATTTAGCTCAGTGGTTTCGCCGCCTGCCTCGCAAGCGCAAGGACCTGAGTTCGATCCCTGGTACCAGAAAAAAAAAAGAAGTAGAAACAGCAAATAAATATATGAAAAAATGTTCAACATCACTGGTCATTGGAGAAATGCAACACTGAGATTCCATCTCAATCCAGAAAGAATGGCTGCTATCAAGAAATCAACAGCAAATGCTGGAGGGGCTTTGGGGAGAAAGGAACCCTTCTCTACTGTTGGTGGGAGTGTAGGCTGGTGCAACCACTGTGGAAATCAGTGTGGCGATTTCTCAAAAAAACTAAAACTAGAGGTTCCATTTTTTTTTCCCATTAAGTGCATTGGTCCATTTTAGATATACAATACAGGTACATTCATCATTGGGATCTTGTACCTTTACATGATGTATCTTGGTTCTTATGTTTTCCCCATTCCCTTACCCTCCCTTCCCTATTTACAAAGACTTTGTTTCCGTTTTTTTCCTTTTCTCATATTTTTTCTTTTCCCTTCTTTCCTTTCCCCTACCCCTCCCATTTCCCCTACTCCTTTAGACCTTTTCTTCCTATTTCACAATATCAGTTACACATTTTAATCCTTATTTACACTTTTAGTTTTTCACAGCAGATAAAAGGTCCATTTGAACCAGTTATTCCCCTTCTTGGTACCTTCCCAAAAGAAAAGCATCCTACCACAGCAATATATCCGCACTCACGTTTATAGCAGCACAGTTTGTAATAGCTAAATCTTGGAAACGGCCCAAATGCCCATCAACTGATGAATGGATAAAGAAGATATGGTTTTTATACAATGGAGTATTACTCTGCCATACAAAAGTATGAGCTTGAGACATTTGTAGCTAAATGGATGCACCTTGAGATCACACTCTTAAGTGAAATAAATCAGACACACATGTTTAAATATCACATTGTTTCTCTGGTGTCAGAAACAGAAAGTAGAAATAAGGACTAAAATGTATAATAGATATTGGGAAATGGGAAGGGGAACAAGGGAGGAGGGAGGCAGGAAGGAAGGGACAAGAAAAAAATAGAAAAAATGGAAACAAAGCTTTTGTACATAGGGAGGGGAGGGGGGTTGAGGGGAGGGGAAATGGGGAAAAGGCAGGATGTATCATGTACAGGTGCAGATTCCCTACTGTGAGGGTATGCCTAAAATGTTTTGCTATAAGAAATAAAACACTGAAACAATTTTTTAAAAAAGAATGGGTGTTCCAGTGAGCTAGGGAGAGGAGGCTGACTTTATGGACAGAAGAGGGCTGGGAAAGCAGAAACAGAACAAAAAGTGAGCAGGTTTGTCTCAAAGTTACTTTCCTTGTAAAGATGAAAGCAGAGGGAACTTTATTATACCAGCTAAAATTGGGGACTTGTATTTTTTTCCTCTCCTGATTTCTTGGAAGGTCATCTAAACAATTTAGTTTTGGCTTCCGATTTGAAGTGGCGTGGAACTTCAGCATGAGTGGTTTTGATTTGATCTATTGTCCAAACTGATGGCCTCTTCTAAATTGCACTTAACACCCCCATATACACTAATATCCCAGGTAACCAAGGGAATCATGCTGGAGTCTGCTCCTGGAAAGGAGGGAGAGTAGGAGGAGAGGGATGTGGGATAAACTGAAGGTTTCATTTGGGACATTCCCAGAGTTTGAGGTGCCTGTTATCCAAGTTATCCAAGCCTGTTATCCATCTTATTTGAGTGGACGTCTGGTTGGATAGTAAAAACTGGAATTCAGGGGAAGTCAAGGCTGGAGACGCATTCTGGGAGTGATTGGCATGTGTGTGGTGTGTAAGCCCTGAGACTACAAGATTAACTAGAGAGTAAGTGTGAGTGAGAGCATAGCTGAGCCCTGAGCCACGAGTGAATTAGAGATGGTTTGTAAAATGGAAAAGAATGGGATTTTATGCCTCACGGTCCTCTCTGAGAAAGCACAGGAAATGTCTCGGCCTCTTGGTGCATTATGAGTAGGCCAGCTTTTTCTAAAGAGACTAGAGGCCCTCTTATTCATTGTGTTTCCCACTTGATAATGACACTGAGACCTTAGAGCTGTATTTATGGTCCACATCTAGCAGGCTGTAGAATTAAGGGGTGTGACTTTTGGGCTGTTGGAATCAGGGTCCCTGGCCGCAGTGTGGCACTTTCAGAAGGGTTAAGTAAGGAGGGTGTGGTGAAGAAATTAGTTTTGAAGGTGTGGCAAGAGAAGGCAGCCAGCAAGGCATGGTCTAGGAAAGAGTGTTAGCAGCCTCCCGGATGGA